TAATAACTCCATTCTGCTGTTTGTTGTTCTGTTGTCGGTGTTTCATTGTCTCAATATGGCACTTAACACATGCTGTGTGGTATCGGCGTTTGGTATTGTGGCATTTTAACGAGTACAGGAGCTCAGTATCGGTGCATCCCTAGTCGAAAGCCTTGCAGCTGCATTCTGTACAACTTGTAGCCACTCCATAGAAGATTTGTTCAAAGAAGTATACAGAATAGGGTTGTGCAATTAATCGCATGCGATTGTCATGCGCATCTCGTCAGTAAAGCCGGTCCCGTGATTAGTAGTAAATCTCCATCACTTGCTTTCAGATTGAGCGGCATTCACTACACAGATCCGTAGTTCACTGACAATTAGGCAATATCGCGTTCATAATCGTAGATGAATCGCATTTGATTATGAACGCGATATCGCCTAGCTTGTCAGTGAACTACGGCTCTGTGTATTAAATGCAGCTCCATCTGAAAGCAGGTGATGGCGATTTACTACCAATCACGGAACCGGCTTTACTGACGAGATGCACATGACAATCGCATGCGATTAATTGCACAGTCCTAATACAGAACATTGCAATAATCCAATCGTGATGAGATAAAAGCATGAACAAGCATCTCCATCTCTTTTTTTGAGACCAAAGATCTCATTTGAGCAATGTTCCTGAGATGGAAAAAACATGAACGAACTACAGCTTTACATGACTGTTAAAACATATAGCTCTGTCAAAGAGACACCCAGGTTTCTTATGTCACTGCAGTCAGAGAATGCTAAACCCACCATAGCCTGCTTAATCTAATGCCCGGTTCAGACTACATTTTAGCCCGATTTTGCCACGCACAACAAGATTTTAGGAGTCAAAATCGTGTAATCTGACACAGTGACTATCATGACCGACAAAAATATTGTGTAGTCTGAACCCGGCATTAGGCGTAATACTGTCAGGGGCAAAGATCATCATCTCAGTTTTATCGTTATTAAGTTGTAGAAAATTGCCATTTAACATTGTAACATTTCCGTCACATGCTTGATGTATTCGGCCAATTACAACGCACTGGATTGCGATGCTTCACGACAGAAAGACTAGCATGTTTAATTTTTTTCCATCGTCCAAGACGAGTTCTGTCACATTGTTGACATTGACCAATAGCAGCACAAACCAAATACACAAAATAATGTTCTTTTTTAGCAACGTCATATGACCCCTTTAATGGAGACTAGACAGTTCTGCAGAACAGACAGTTTATATAGACTATCAGGACTAAACTAAATATATAACTGAATGTCATCGGCATAGCAATAAGATGATATTATTTTAAAACTGTTAATAATCTTGCCAAGAGGAAGCATATACAGGCTAAACAACAGAGGGCCGAGCACAGAGCCTTGTGGCACACCACAGGACAAAGGAACAGAATCTGACATATAAGATCCTATAGACACAGAAAAACTCCTGTCACAGATAGGAGGATAACCAATCCAAAGCCGACCCAGAAATGCCCACTAAGGAATACAATCTATTAATCAAAGTAAATAAAATACTGGCCAGCAAGTTTCCCCCATCTGATGAAAAATAAAATCAGCCCATCTGGTGAATATTCACTACAAAAGATGTAGCACATACTGAGATAATGCAGATGGAACCAGGGTGTCCTTAAACCTTGTGCAAATGTACTCATTTAGGTACAATTCATGAAAACAGGACAACTCCCCGAAGAAAGCCTCATCTTTAATTAATACACTACAGTCCAGATGGAGTTAACCGTTCTTTTAGACCTGAAATAACATTCGTATTTCATTTGAATAATATTAATCCAAGATTTGCTTTAATCTCAGATGCTTTGAATGCACTCTGACCTTCCATTGGTCTCAAGATCAGATGATAATCGAGGTCATAATCGTTAAACCTGCAGGACAACACACCACTGGGGAACATCTGCTTTGTGGAGGACTATAACTACAACAATGCAGATTTGGTTCCTTTCCATTTACAGTATATGCATGAAAATATAGGTGTACATGCACTCAGTTGAACTACAGCACCATAAACGTCAACCTCAGATAACCTCACATTTGTTTACAGCATCGGCACAGCATTCAAACAAGAAAAATTTATTTCACGGCCCTCGTAAAGAACCGGTTCGGTATCTCACAGACATGTGGGGTCTGTCAGTGGATCTGTGACAGCTGCATAAGCCTGCGCTAATTTTCCTACCTATAGCAAGCCAAGACATCTGCACCAAATGCTCGCTTGGCTTAATCAAACTGCTGACTTAGCATAGGGTGGAGTTTGCTATGGGAGCCGTGTGAGCTTTAAAAATAAAAAGAACACTTCTACTTTCCTATACTGCAGTCAATAGATTGCAGATAGAAGTACAGTATTTGTGCATTTTTTCTGATCACTCAGCTTGTTTTCCAATTTTGCGATCCAATGGGTGGAGTTTGCTATGGGAGCCGTGTGAGCTTTAAAAATAAAAAGAACACTTCTACTTTCCTATACTGCAGTCAATAGATTGCAGATAGAAGTACAGTATTTGTGCATTTTCAATGTTTTATCAGCTTGTTTTCCAATGTGGTGATGGATACTAATGATACAATTATACTTATTCCAGAGATGGCTAAAAACAAAGCGAGAAAGACAAAATATGGTGATAGTATCACCTTTTTTAATACACATTCTTTGTCTTGAACCCACTAAAACTCTATAAAGTGAACTAAATCATTTCACAACAGTCTATGATGTAAAAGAAAACAACTGATTGTGGTCTTCCAGCTAGTGAATCAATCAATACCTCTACACACATTCATAAATGTTGGTATTATAGATATACACTACTATTCAAAAGTTTGAGATAGGTAAGATTTTTTAATGTTTTTGAAATAAGACTGCATTTATTTGATCAAAAATACAGTAATATTGTGAAATATTTTTACAATTTAAAATAACTGTTTTCTATTGTAATATATTTTAAAATGTCATTTATTTCTGTGATGCATAGCCGAACTTCCAGCAATATTACTCCAGTCTTCAGTGTCACATGATCCTTCAGAAATCATTCTAATATGCTGATTTGCTGCTCAGAAACGTTTCTTATTATTATCAACTTTGAAAACAGTTGCTTAATATTTTTGTGGAAATTGTGATACATTTTTCCAGGATTCTTTGATGATGAATAGAAACTTAATCAAAGAACAGCATTTATTTGAAATAGAAATATTTTGTAACATTATAAATGCTTTTACTGTCACTTTTGAATAATTTAATGCATCCTTGCTGAATGAAAGTATTAAAATCTTAAAAAAACACAGAGACTTAATTTCCAATCCTCTCCTCCTCATTAGGACGACATGTTATGGCAACAGAGAGTTAGGAATTTAGTTCAGAGAACTCAAGCTTAACTAGTTAATCAGATTACAAATAGGGATGCAACGATACCATTTTTTCAGAACTGGTCCGATACAGTTCTTGTACAATATTTAAATTTGAAAGAATTTCTCAATTTTTACATTAATAAAAAGAGGTTTTACCATGTTATTACAACATTTAACCAGTTAACATTAAAAATTTGCACATTCACTCAAAAGAGACGTTACTCATTAATAAATAAACTCAAGTCAAAATAATTTTGTAAATTACTTTTTATTGTAAATCCCATTTTTTCATCTTTGACCTAGGAATGCAGTTCAAACATGCAGCTGCTCAAAACGTCAGTATTTAAAAAATATATACTATAAAATTAAAAGACATTTCTTTTAAATGCATAGCACAATAATGAAGGCAGCAACATATGATAGAACAGAACAAAAAAGACTATTAATAATCTTTAATTGCGCAAAAGTATAATACGAAAGGGTATGGCTCCAATACAGAGCGGCACAAAGCGCTTATGTGCATCCCATGCGCAGAATGATGCGCTTGAAGCAACATGGAGTCACAGCGCGCAGCGGTCGGATTTGGATCGATCTCGTCTGACCGATACCCGATCCAGCAGAAAATGGCAGTATCGGAGCCAATACCGATACTGAGTATCGAATCGATGCATCCCTAATTACAAGCACCATGTGATGAGTAGAGGAAGGCTTTTCTCCTTTATATACATAGATAGTATTGCTGGAGTCCCACTTTATATAGTTTTGTAGCGTAAAACTGTAATCCATTTTCATTTAATGTATGAAACTTGAAAGAAATAATAGTTTTTCTAATGTCTGAAGAAGAAATTTGAAAAATTTGTGTATGACATTTGATGACTTGATGATTAAAAAAAATACTCTGGATGTGTACAGTGATGGTATAATGACACTTTTTTATACCACACAACTGTATGATAATCCTTATTCAAACACAATGGCATTACCATGATGCTCCAAAGTAATTTAAAGAACACTGTGTTATAGCTATTGTGCATGTCTCTGTGCATGAATAATGCAGGTGTGTTCTACTATAAATCACAAGACCAGGTGCACTTTTCCACAGATAAAATAGACAAAGCAATTTTTATTCTTGGCCACTGCCCTAATTCAATCCATGTGGCTGGAAAAAATATCTAAATTAAGCTGCATTCTTGCTTTGGAGAGAGAACCGAGCCAAATTGCCTATGCAAAAACTAGACTAACTCTCAGAAGTTTATAGCCATGTCTGCAGCACACAGTCAAAATCTCTTTCAGATTCTGCACTTCCTGTTTGTACCACACCTAATTTCCTTCTGAGATCACTCATCTGTTATCAGACTCTTATCTCTCCTCTTTTCCTCTCTATGGTCTCTTTAGCCAATAGGAAATTCCTGCATCGCTTATGCTGAACAAGGATATTCATGCATCTCACCAAACTCTGTCTTTAGCAATGTGCTACAAAAATTAACCACCTTATGTGACTACCTCCAAAATGAGACCTGACTCACCATCATAGATCATCATTCCACTGACTACATTCACCTGGTTATTTAGGCATGTTTCACAAAAAATAGCTAAAAACATGTCTTATCGTGTGAAACTGAGTTACTCACCCGGCTGGGTAGGCAACCAGTCCTGAACGTGGGTCACACGCCAAAGCACGATTCCCAGCGGAAGTGATTCCCAGGACTTTCTCCAACGTCACCTGTAGAATTACATGAAGAAAAAAAAGTTTCTATGGGTACTACAAGATCATTAACATAACAAACAGCCTTTAATGTCACATGAAATGAAATAATATCATATAAGTTCTGCTTTTACATCTGTAACATTATTTGAATGTTGTCTGAATACTAAATTATTCTTGAATATGAACAATATATACATTTAAATAAATGTATAAATAAATGTAATATATATTTTTAAATAAATAAAATATTTAACTTAAAATACAAAATGTTTTACTAATATATACACACACACACTCACACACACACATATATATATATACATAAATATATTTAAAAATATCTAAAATATAAAGTACATATATAAATTAAAAATAAGTTACAATATTTTTAAATAAAGAAAATATATTAATTAAAATAACATTTAAAATGTATATTAAATATATAAATTATAATACAAAATATTTAAAAATATCTAAAATATAAATTAAACTAATTTATAACTAAATTGCACATCTAATAAAAAAAAAGCGAGAAATTACATAAAATGTACACAATTTCTTATGAAAAGAACCAAAATTACAAGAAAAAAAACCCAGGAAAAACTCATTTTGTTGTGAGCAAAATTTCAGCCACTTAAATTACGTAAGTGTTCTATTATTATATTAGTAATTACAAAGTCTATAACTGCATGTAAATGACGTGATAGAAAAATAGATATTAAGAAAAATAGAAAATATTTTTAGTCAGTATGAGATGAGCAATTCAGCTGGTAAATTATAGCAGCACAACAAATTCACTTGGATGAAGACCTCTTGTAAAAAATAGTTTATTATACAAGACTTTGTTTAAAGAACCTGAGAGACTTTAAATGCCCAGAGCACAGAACGACTGCAAAGTGGTGTTGTCATCTTAAATGGAAATTATGAGCTAGAAATTTTCCATGAGGCTTTGTTAAGTAGAGCTGAACTGCTCAAACTCAAGGCAACATGTTGAAGCACAAAACAAGCTTAAATATAAAATGCACAAATCTGCAAACGGTAAACAGGCTAGGTAATGTTTCAATAGCATTTCCATTATAGTGTCCTCATTACAGTACAACTGCATAAGCACTGACTAATTTATAACATGCTTAAAATGCAATTATTTGGTAAAACAATTATACAAAGTTGTTACTATTGTAATTAAAGATTGCATAATATGTATAAAATGAACACATAATATTCTAGCAAAACAATGAGGAATACACATGCACTATGTGTTTTCAGCATACCACATAAAAACCAGTTTGCTGAACATCTGCACCTGTCTTCAACGTCTGATACCTTTATTCTATGCATTAAAACCTCTGCCAGATCACTTCTTCAAAGCAAGCATGGCCATATCCAAGCTGAGGACACTCTCTCACATCAATCATGGCCACTTTAAGTACAGGTCAACGGAGAAACGAAAGGAACAACACCTGGTTTATGGAAGTGGTCTCCTCTAAATCTGCCATCTTAGACCATTTCCTCACTGTATGGGTTTATAAGGACCCAAGTAGTCTTTCCATGCTGGTTTTTATCCCTCAAAAATACAGGTTTCAAGAAATCCATAAGCTGAAGTCAGCATTTGGACTTCAAAATGCTATGTATGTACATTCATTATCCTACCGTAAACTGAATGTAGACTACCACAATTTGTGCTGAACATGCCGATATAAAAACACTGTAATTGTGGTTGTTGCTTTGATTTATCATCTTTCCAAAGATGTTTTGACAGATATCCACTGTCTATTAGTGTCTCGGAGTGCTGGAACAACGGAAAAAGAGCTCGTTTTCAAATGCATGCTGTTTTTAAGCCATTTCTCGTTCAGCATCTCTAATGGGAATTTCAGAACCAACGGCTGTGTCATGCACTTTTCCAGAAACTTTCCTGCAATCGTTGTATGTCAGATCCTGGGAGAACAGCAAAGTCCTTAAGCCAGGAGTCAATGAACTGCACAGCACCTGGAGGAATGGCTTTGATTTTCATACAGTGTGTAAACCTTGGAAAATAGAGCCCAGTCTAAGAGCTGAACTGATATTTAGTCTTACATAAAGCTCAGATCCCTTTGTCTGGATCCTGGACACTAGATATTCCTCATACGCTTTAGGCAAAGAGAGAGACAGATCTGCTCTTTTGTACGAAACAAAGGCACCTTGACAGAGTCTTCTGCATAGCCCTTAAATGGTAGTATGTACATGATATTGTCTCTAGAGCAGTGATCATCACACACTCTGATAGTACCACTGACATTTTTAATGCATTCAATTTAATTGCAGAAGGTGTCTTCTCTGATGAATGTACTATTGAATTTTTCTTTTCTTGTCTTTTTAATATGATTGTATATGCAACCATTCAGTAACCATAAATATTTAAAATTGCTTATTTGCATTCTGGCACCACAATATGGCTTGGGTCCCTCCTTCATTGTAAGTCTACTGAACAAAATTTACCGCCAGCCAAGCGAAAAGCATAAATCTGATCAATTAGAGAGGTAATAGCACACCTCTCCTTTAAAGGAACAGTTGACATAAAATTGAACATTTGCTGAAATGTTTTCACTCTCAGGCCATCCAAAATGTAGAAGAGTTTGATTCTTCATTGGAACAGATTTGGAGAAATTTAGCAATTAAAGTGAAAAGCTACATGTATAAACAAATCCATCATTAGGACATTTTAAACCTCAAACTATTGCTTCTGATGAAAATATGGTCAAAATATCGAGTTCTCTATCCATAATATCAGAGAAATATGCACATTTTTGGGTGAACTAGCTATTGTTTTAATAATAAACTTTAATAATCCTTTAAAAGTTTAATATGTGAGCTGGGGCATAAGTTGAGCAATAATACCAGTGACGCCTTAGCCAGCAGCACTATGAACGCCATAATATAGACTAGTAAAACATTCCATATAGACATGGATTTGGTTACTGAAAATGCATGTGCTAGTGTGAACAACAGTGTGTAATTTATGAGCAACAAATCATATGCAGCTGAGGTCTCGGAGTTATTCAAAGCGTTCATCTCAGTTGCAAAACAGTCTCAACAATCATAAAGTCCTGTGTATGGAAGGGAAGTACAGTCATCCAAGGGCCTGCAGCAGTAAACAGGCAATCTGAATGGAATGCAACAGTCAGGGATGACTACTCTGACACAATAATAGTTACAGTTACAATAACAAGAACAGTTGCATATATTCAAAGAATAAGAAATGCATTCCACACTTACGAGAGGCGTGTATACAAAGTGTCACATTTGAAACAATGACGAGTTTAGAGTTTGAGGTGGAAAATCTACAATTATCCACACTTATCTGAGAAAATACTATACCCTTGGATATGATTTGTGCATTATATTTTCACAACATGCACTTGACCACTGCTTGATTTTTAAAATTATATTATATTATATAATGAATAAAAGGTGCAATTAACCCTAATGCCCAAACTGAAAAGGCACCCAATATAATATAATATAATATAATATAATATAATAAACTGACTGAGATAAACAAGAGACATGTGCTTAGGGTTCCTGTATATCGCAGTGCACATTTGTGCAATATATTTTCTCAGCAACATTACCAGTGTTTTGAATTCAGTGCCATTTATATTATTACATTACATTTTTATTGTACATTATATTTTCCCAGCTTGCCGTTTACCAGGGCTTGAAATTATTTGTGACATGTGGCAAATATAGGTCCGTGAAATTTACAGTCTTCATGCTTGTTGCATTGTACTGACAGAGCCACAGTATGCCTTTGTAGAGTTTACATAAACCCTGGAAAGATTCTGACATATTAGTGCCAATGCACTGTCACCTTGCATTAAACTGCAGAAAACCACAGCCATCCTGTAAGGATACATTTGCAGACAACTGCAGATACGTTACAGATTCCATACATGCTTCGTGTCATACAGTAGTGCACTGTACCTTATTACTGAGATTCTCTTTGTTGTTCCCAGCTTTACTTCTTCTCAATTTGATGGAAGGCGAGCGGAGCAGATTTTTAATCCGACTTTTGATAGTTGTATTTTCCACTGTCATCTTGATTTGGTGTGCTGTTGAGTCAATGTTTCCAGCAAACAAACGGCGGGGCAGCTGAAGCCCTTCGCTCTACAATCACAGTCGGTAATCAATTAAACAATACGCGTTTAAAACAAGCCATGATCTGTTCACAGCCTTGTATTTCATATACTAAACCAGTCCACCGTCACCACAAGCCACTATCGGAGCTTTAAATCCCGTGCGGCAGTCCTGTCGGTGAGAGACGCGCTCCTCACTAACGTCCATTTGTTAAAATGGACCATGTTTCGTGTTTAGAGTCAGCAGTTTGACGGCGAGCCGGTCTGAAAGCTCCGCGAATCACCTCCAGCCGTCAAACCTTCACCGGTGCGATGTGTGTATTTAAAAATCCTACTACTGTAAAGGCCAGGCTCATGAATATTAATTATGCAAGGTGACGTTTTTTTCAGTCAGCGTTTCTGATTGGCTGAAAGGCTGACGTCTGGAGGCGGACGGTAGGCAGTTGACCAATTAACGATTTCTGTTATGGGGGAACGCTTGGCTCCTGAATATGAATGAAATGACGTGATTTGATACCCCTGGAAGGGTACGAATTGGTGCGCGCTTGATCTAATTAATATTGAGATTTACCTTAGCCATAGTATACATTAAATACACATCACGCATGATTACTAGGTGGACTATAGTGCACATATGGGCGGTTGTGTGATACAGCAGTTTCCTTAAGGTGTAGACAATTCGTTTACTCAAGGAAAAGTGTTTCTTTTGATGTTTGCAGATATTAGGACTAATAGTAGAACAGAAAATTGTGGCATTATTATATTCATTTCCCCAGTTGGAAAATCCAGTTTGAGATATAACTCCGTTTTGCAACTTGGTAGCTGGTTTAAGCTGGTCCAAGCTCAAATGTACCATCTTGGATCAGCAAACAAACCAGCTACCTGCTGGTCATACCATCTACTGCATAAATGCCCTTTGCATTTTACAACAATGGTTGCAATTCTCCAGTCTAGACCCATGTCATTCTGTGATATCCATGTAGATTTCCATGCACATAAACTTTGTAATATACATTTTCCAAGTACTCTAATGGAAAGACAACAAGGAGATGTCATAAAATCAGGGGCATGATGAACAATGAAGGGTATTTATGGCTGACAAATAAAGATTTATGAAGAACAAATTCAGCCGGCTGTACCATTCAGACTGAAAATAGCAGTAATTGAATGACAAATGCAACTGCTTAAAATTCAACAGATTTATCACTTCATTCCCTACCCCTTTGTTGGTAAAAGGGGTTAAAAAGGTTACTAACACTGACAAATTAACATTTAGGCTATTTGTTGGACTGAATTATGGCTGGTGCATACGTATAATTTTATACAACAAGTCTGCCATCTAGTGATTACTTAGGATTTTTTTTCATTCAACTGTAAACTAAACCTGACTAGCACACAGTATATGGCTACCTTCACAGCAATTGAAATTTAGATAGAACTCAATTGACATTTGAAACAGAGAGTCAGACATACACAGATACAAGATGCACCTTTTATCTAAAACAACTATATCAGTAAAATCTTACATTAATGGTTACAATATAGGAAATTATACACACACACAAAGTATGAAAACAAGCACAAGAATATTAAAACATTAGATACATCAACTCACAATTGTGCAACTAGACAAGTGTGAGAGGTCTTTTAAAAGATCATTTTTTCATGTTTTTACTATATTGAGTTTTGCCCGTTCTGTCTTTGGAACCACCATGAAGTTGGATCACACTGGGCGGTTCCTCTGAAGGCCCTTCCAAATCTTGTTTCTTACCTACCTGTAAGACCTTTCTAACCCAGTTTGCCAACACAACCAGTTCACAGTGTCCTTGCTGCATGTGGAAAATTAAAGGATCAAGACATGCATTGAGACAGTACAGTATCTGGGAGGCTTCAGAGAGCAGGTTGACCACCCATGCAACCCAGCAAGCATTTTTGCAGTGATCCAAACTGAAGAAAATGATACAGGCGATGATGTGAAGCAGCTGCCCTGGCACCCAACAAACCAGGAAGTTGGCAATGAAAACCGCAATCAGCCAGATGGTCTTGTCCAGGCCTTGCATGTTGCCGTGACTGCTTCATCCAGGAAATGATCTTCACATAGGAGGGAATGATGAGGAGCAATGGGACAGAAACCTGAATGGAGTAATAGGACAGATGATTATAGGTTGCTTCAGTGGTCCTGAACCTGGAGATCACCACTGCTCCACACACATGGATGCCATCCTTCCTGACCCAGTAGAGAATGTTAGGATAACTGAAGTAGATGAAGAGGCCGGTGATGGCCCAGAAGAGAACCGAAACCAGTGCGCTGTTCCAAGAGGTCCGGATCATCCGGGACTCCAGAGGGAAGACGATTGCAAGGAAGCAGTCGGTGCTGATGGCGCAGATGAACATGGTACTAGACGTCAACCCGCCGAAGTATAGGATTTTCACCACCACGCAGAGTGAATGGCCAATTTTCCAGTGGTAGTCGGAGCTAATGTAGGCAGCCCAGGGTCCCATAGACGCCAGATAAGCAAGGTCACATAGAGCCAGGTTCAGTACACCTATGGACCCAATACTCCAAGGTTGGGATGGACGCAGGCAAGCCCACAGGCTCCAAAGGTTTCCAATTGTTCCAAGGATGGAAAGTGTGTAAAAGACAAGAGGTATGAAGTTGGAGGCGTACATGCGGTTGGAGGTACATTCCATGTAGGGAACCAAAGGAAGGGCCAAATCACTGGGGTAGGTGCAGTTCCAAGCCCAATAAGAACTGTTGTTTACTGCCGACATTTCTTATGCTTGGTCTATATTCTTTTTAAGAGAAAAGAGCCAAATTAGTAACCTACCTCTTGTAAATTATTATTCTTAGCTTCCCAGCACCACTTTGGTCTGGATGCTAAACTTAAGCAGAATTTCAGTCTCATCTCATTCAACACATTAAGCAAAATATGCATTAAAGAATGGATGGATCTTACCTTGAGAAAGCTGAAAGAAGTTGGACTAGACCTATTTGTCAAGTGCTGTATATGAGCCCTGATCCCTCCTTGAAATACATACGTATTTGCTCTTGGGAGTTATATGCAAGGTAAAGACCATGAGTTGATAATTAACTGCTTCTGTAATTGTCTAAAGTCTCTATCAAATGTCAAATGAAACGCTTCTATTTTTTTGGACAACTTGTTAATAGCGACCAACTGATGGGCTACATTTCCCAAAAGCACCTTAAGCTTAAGTATGTAATAGTGACCATATGGTTATTTTAAGATCTCTGGGATTTACTGATAACCATGTCCATTTAGCCAGTTTTGTTTCAATATCTTCCAACAACCTTGTTGGAGTAACAAACAAACTGTTGTCTTTATGTGAATAAAATATGCTTTAGTGAGTAAAATATGCTTTATGAACTTAAGCATGTTAATTTACATCTCACTTTTCATCATTACATTATTGTATTATGTATTAAACAGCAGAATTTGCTCAACCGCTAATTGGCAAATGTAAAATGACATTCTAATAAAAACTATCTACAAAAAACTCAACACATTTGAAGTCGAAGGAGCACATTTTAGACTAAGCCATGGTATAAAGAAGAATGAAAAGGACATCTTTTTAATCTTGTTTTTTTTTTTAATCAACCAGAATGCCTAAAATCATGAATGTTAATGTACATTTTAAAAACATTAACTTTTCACAGACTTGTGTAAATTTTTATTGACTCAAAAAGACATATTCATCTCTTTTACAAAGAAGGTGAGAGCACTGATTTATAGCATATAAAAAAGTAAGTATTTTAACAGTTCGCAGACTAACAAAAACGAATCGATTTTACATATTTACAATAACCAAGAAAGGTTATATCAGCCAATATACAGACTTTTAACAAGCTAACATTTACAAAATAAACAGTGTAGCATTAAATATATACACGAACATAAGCAGTGACTGCATCTCGTTTTATGTAGCTTTTAATGTTCCTATGTAGTTTGTCTGTACCTGTTTTATCTAAATATAAAGCAAAACAATTGCATAGTGATTACTACATTTTAAGCTCAAACTGAGGGATCTCTTAAAGTTAACCGCCTCTCTTGATGCGTGACAATTGCGTTACAACACTAAAATGTTTCAGACATTGTAATTTATGTTTCTATTGAGGTGGGGAATATGAAAATAGGGTTTCACAACTAAAAGGCTCAAATGCAATAAACTTACTGCATTTAAACTTCACCTATTACTTGCAAAACAAACAAAAAGACACAAGAATTAAAACTGCAGTACTAACACATCAGAATAAACCTCAGAAGTGTACACACTGTCATTCTTTTATTCCTAAGCTCTTAATGCTATTGTTATAAGTTTACTATTCCCTAAGACAACAATCCTACGTCTCAATATGCATATAGAAGAACCTTTTGAAAGGCACTCAACATAAGATATAAAGTTTCGTGTATATAAGCTAGCTTTTCTGTAACAAGAACACAGACTGTTTGTAGTGAATTTAACATCTATTATTGCCTTAACATGCATTGATGTAATGGGTTTAATCAACAGTGGTGTAAGTTTCATCTAGATGCAAAGACAATGACATTTGCCTGATCTCATTAGCAGATAAATTCAAGGGTGAAGTGGCCTTACTGTTAAAAGTCACTGGGCAAAATTATTTATTCCTTAAAAGGTCACCTGGAAAACAGCCCTAATGATCCCACAAAATTCCCATTGCAAACAATTATGATCAGCTTCACCTTCACTGTGCTAAGGGAGAAACAATCCTATGTTTAACGATCAAGTAAATGTTTTCTTTTTATTTTCTTTTTGAACTCCAATGGGAAAGAAAAACATGCTCCAATATGGAGGTTAGAATGAGTAAACGGCTTCTTTCACAACTATTGCCACAAAGAGTGGATACACAATTGCTAGCAAAACCAGTCAGATACCTTGCTGGTCTAGTAGTTTGAGTGTTCAAAAAACAAAACAAAAAGTGAATGAAACAAAACATCTTTGGATTTACCAGAGGCACAATAGGTGGTGCCCACGGCAGCAGGACTTACACAGCAAACAAACAATAAATACATTTTTTAAAAATCCTATTTTGTACATAAACATGTTAAACGTGAGCAGCAGCTATACCTGATTCATAGATAGGTAGATCACATTTGAGGTCTATGAACGTCTTCCTCATTTGAGTCCGGTTTGAAAACTGGGGAGCCGGTAACCTTATTCACGACAGCATCTTGAGCCTTTAACCCAAGAGGAACCAGTTTAGGCATTGGCCGCCATGCCACACTGGTCCCTTCATTGGCTGACTGACCTGATGCAGCTTCACATGCAACTTTCATGTGCAACAGAGGTGG